ACAGCAGCTTAAATTCTATTTAAAAGCTTATAAAAAATATTACAATTGAAAAATTTGCTGTGGACCAGATTATCAACTACCAATACACACACTTCTAAAACAGAAAAACTGTTTTTTTTCTCTGATATTGTAAAATATTATTTAAAATATCTCCACAAATAGTTCATCAGAGGTGTTGAGTATTTCTTTGTATGATACTCTATTTAAAATGCACACATCATGTTTTGATTATTAAAAGATTATTAACTTTACCAAAACATTATCAGCAACAATTAGAATTTTTTGCAAATGATTGGACAAAACAAGACATTTGAAAACCTAAATTTGGTAAATGTGATTCTGTGTTTTCTGACTTCATCATATCAATCAATTATAAACATAATCATTACTTGCAACTCTCGGCTATGTCTTAGGATTTGTTATATCATTGAAGTTAATAGAGAGTAAAAAATAAAAGACAAAGCCTGTACGTGGTCAGATATCCATGTGTTAGTGGAGATAAAGTGCTCAGGTTACAGAGACTGCAGGGTTCCGACAGGCAGCGATTTGCATTCAGTGGCAGCAGCGTTTACTTTGACAAATAGGAACAGCAAAAGGAGGCAGCCGACTGCCACTTAGTTATTAACAACTCCTTCACTCGTGATTTATTTGCCACTTTTGAAGAGAGGGCATAGCGATTAGGTTATTATTGGGAAAATTAGCCCTGTTTAAGCAGGGGGCTACAACCATACCTGACCCCTTAATATACTTATAATGACGCCATTTACCATACATATCTGAACATAGCTTCTCATCAGACCTGAGCCAAACAAAGTAGCCCAGGGCAGACTGACTCCAAATATGCAGGGAGGGATCTACTTTGTGCACGTGTCACTCCACAGCTGAATTACCTAACTCTGTCGAGCACACGCCATTAACTGTGTTTTCCCTCTTCCCCTGCCTCTCAACATGGAGAACATTGTGAGGATTAAAAGGTATTGACCCTTCTCTTTATAAGGACTGGTGGGTGAAATACTTTGAGGGTCCATTTTTGTGATTAAATTGGAATTATGTAGGTCACAGCGTCTGTTTTTCTCTGCTGTGACACTGAGTGCATGTTGTCTTCTTTTCAGGTGTGGGCTATTGATCTGGACCTCACATACAGTGACCAGCTGGCCATGACCCAGATGCTTCTGATGAGGACTGGAGGAACGCTGAATTGCCACACAGGCTGTTTAGAAGTGCCAGTCAGGGAGAAATACTGTGAACACCAACCTGCAGCCAAAGTAACATTTTCTATTTTTCTTAAACATCAGAATCTAGATTTTAAATGCTGAATTTGTTTGCAGTGTTTCCTCAATTTACGAGTCAACAAAACCTCTAAAGCTAACTGATACTTTAGAGAATATTATAATAACATGAAGCCACATCAAGTGCTGCTCTTCATTTTTGTTAAATACAACTAAATACTGTAATTATGCACTGAGCTCAATTGGTGTTTAGGTGCTGAATTCATTACCATTTTGATAGATGAGCCTAAATAATCAACACATTAATAATTCATACCATTTTCATTATGCATGTGTATGCATGCTTGAACACCTCATCAACCTGGTGCCAGGCCTTAAACAATAGAAGTCTTTTATTAGCAGTATGCCGGAGTTTACGCTTGTTAATCTGCGACTTGTATTATTTTATCAAACATTCATTTAGTTGGTGGCCTGGTGCCTCAGTACAGCAGTTGAGCCACCGCGGTGGTTAATGGCTTTAGCAGTGGCCATCATTAGGGGCCTGCATATTACAAACACAATTAAATCCCTGTTGGACACTTTTATTGTTGTGTGAGAGTCCCGGGTTTGACAACTGCAAACACACGGACATCCCAGCGAGTTATGGGCCATCTCCTGAGCTCACAGGGGCTTATGGCTGTGCTTTTTGTCTCCCAAAGGTGCCAGAGAACCAGGAACATATTTATCCTCTTGAGCCTTGCCACTTACAAGTAATCAACCTCTCTAGTGTTACTTATGACACTCACATACCCAGAACCCGCTCTAATATGGTGATGGGTATTTTGCCTTGAGTAGTTTTATTGTATCCAGAATCGAGTGCAAACATTTGTTGTCCAAAAACTGTATTTTCCTTGATTGCCGTCGCACAATTAAGCTCATCTTGTGTTTGGCGTGTCTTCTAAACATTAATTGTTCCTCCCTGCGGTTAATTAAGAAAGACCCAACAGTTTACTCCGCGTGCCCGGCACTCATCACATTCACTAATCACACACACAGTGACCCTAATGACACATGTATGGGGATCAACCATCTCTACCCATTTGATACACACCACAATATACATATGCTGAAGCCCAAATTTAATAGAACATATAATTATTTTGTCCTATGTAAGATGAACAGAAAGATTCAGGCCAACAATAATACATGCGCATTCTGTGTCCTCTTCTTTACAGCGTCCTGTGGTGAATCTTTATGCCGTTCTCGGGAGCCAGTTGTTTCACTCTAACCTTTCCATGTTGTACCATAATGTGTTCCTTATGATGTGCAAGGCTCATGGCATAGGATTTAACATGAAGGTAAAAACTGTCATGATTAACCTGCTTATGCTTATATCATTCTTGCATTTTTTATTTTATTTTTGCAACTGACCAGAACAAAAGCAGTGAGCAAAAAAACCTTACTCTCAAACAACCAAAGAAATATTTTATTGTATAAAATCTGTGTAACGTATGGCCTTTGCAAAAATGGCACACCATGAAGTGAGAATGATTTGTTGCTGCACGATATCCTCCTTGACTTGGATACAAATCTCACTATGGCATCATGATAACGAAATTTAGCTGCTTGTAATTTCTTTGTCATTATTTTCCGTTATTTGTTATTACAAAATATATTTTTTGGCCTGGCAGGGGTTTTTTTATTGGGGGAAAACTGCCATGATAAGAGATTTACTTTAAACTGTTTGTGGTTCCTAAATCACAGAGGAAAGAAGGCACCGTCTTTGCTCTTTATGACAGCAGTGAGCGATGCAGGATTGGAATGATGTGAGTATTTCATTTTGCATCAAATTTATACAAATATGTATTGATGAACTCAAGGCATCTCCAGAAGAAGAAAATATCAAATGGAGGTTGCCAATCTCAGTAACAAAAAAATAGAAAAGCCGAAGAGAAAACAGGGAGGATTATGAGGTTTAAGACTTCTGCAGAATGAGAGTAAAGACAATTCTTTCAGGGGATTGAGATGCCACCTCTGGCTTTCTAACTGTTGTTACAAGCTCTACAAGTAGTTCAGCAGAGGGTTATTTAACATATTTATCACACAAATCCTTTAGCTTACACTGTGCTGTAACAGGCAATTCAAGCTGTGCTCATCCCCCTAAAGACTGACGATGTTGTCTGCCGAAAGTTTCATTTAACAACCCCCGTCAGATGAACAAGGTGATTGTTTCTGAGCTGGCAATGCGGGAATCATTAGTAAACTCGTTTGTTTGGGGTGTTGTTAATAGAACGGTCTCCGAGGATCTCCAGGGAGCTCTGGTGACCTTTGCTCGGAATCTTTCAGTCATTCATCAGGAAATATCATCTTCTAAAATGCAAGAAGAAACCAATTTCAAGGTACCACGTTAATGACTTAATGATTTCCTCTCTACATCATGAAACTTACATATTCAGTGAAGCTCAAGTCAGTTGGAATTCTTTTGTTGAGGTTAATAAGTTAATTTTGTAAAATATAGATGAAGGATTGTGCTCACAGTTCTTTAAATTCACTGCCTTTTTCTATTTGGTTTTGTAGGAGCTGATCAAGGACATAGAGGACGTGCTGCAGACGACAGTTCAGAACAAGCTGCGAGCAGTAAAGGATAAACCTGCTGCTTAGACAGCGACTTCAATGATAAGTCATTGTGTCTTTACCAACTTATATGTCACATTACACTGTGAATATTCAACCCTGGGGATTTATTGATGTTGAGCAAACACAGATTGCCAAATATATTCCTGAGAATCTGTCATATAAACTGTTTTTTTGATTCTACAGTTTGAATATACAGTCTGTTAATACTTGAAAACAAATATAATAAACTGTGCACTTGGTAATAACACTGAGGAATGAGAAGGCTTTGTTCAAGTAGAGAAAGTTAGCAGATTTTCAAATGTCTTCTTTGTAAGTTGACTACATTTGCTTCATTTCTTCTGTAAAACAATTTGTAGTGGAATACAGCATATAATAAATGTTTTAAAATGAAATTGCAGTAAAGTGCTAACCAGCTTGTGTTTTAGCCTGTTCACAAGCCATCATGTTTTGTAATTGTTGTGTAGTTCCTTGCTTTGTATACGTCAGCACATATTATTCACTAATGTCAAGATTAAATGTGCCTATTGTAAAATAAATCTATGTTTAGTGTAACATTTGCAGCAAGTGTGTACATGTTCTTTAACTTGATCCAGTGTCAGATGAGGTGGCAGAGTTCAGTTAGCACAGAAAAGTAGTGACAGGGATTTCACTGATCCCCACCATCTCTACCATAGGAGGTTGAAATGAAACATTCGGCGAGGTAATTATGAACTAATATTTACTGTTTTGAATAGCTGTGTATGTACAAGTCTGAGACCACTTTTATGCTGGTAAATAAACTGTAGGCCATGTGTTGGATATACAGATTGGAAATATTTGTGTCTCAGTGAATCTAGTTTGCACTTGTAGGAGGATGTGCTTGGGGTGTTTACACATTTCTGTCATGAATGAAGGTTTTATCTGTCTTCCTGTGTGCCTCTGATAAAGTTGATCTTTTTTTAATATAATGGTATATTAAGAAACCAGACATGTAATAACCAGCAACATGCTATTCAAACATTTAAATGATAGCTGCTGATTTGTGTGTTTTCTAGGATGGCCTGGTCCGGAGAATACAGCAGTCTGAGCACAAGGAGAATATCCGGTCGTTGAACACGTGAGTACTTCTTTATACACAGTCTATAGTACTTATACATGAAGGCGATAGTTGTTCTCCCTGCTGAGGAGGAACAACCGCGCAGCGCTGCGTTTCCAGTCGGATGACTTTAGAAGGAGTACCAGGTCAGATCATGCAGCACTACAGTGGAGCGGCTATATTCCACTGTTTGCTGGTTTAAATCATGTTAGGATTAATAGTGTCTGTGTAAATCAACATGTGTGTGTCCTCTCAGGTAGCTCTGTGCGCAGGAATATTGTTCCTAGCTTTAGCTAAGCTCACAAACACGGGCTGTGTCGTTTGCTAACATTAGCCCAGGTTTGTTTCTCATGTAAACAGACCAGTGAGCAGCACCACGCTCCTTCCTCCTCTGCTTTAAAGTACGTGTCCATCCGCTGATTTTAGGTTTCTGTGCGTTTAATCTATGGCTACTCGGGGGGTCGCTTACCAGCAGTGCAGGTGGTAAATGACGTAGCGGATCATTCAGCCTTGCACGAGTCATGAAGGGGTTTTTGAGGTCAGCACACCGCCTCTTTCTAAAGATCGCACTGTTTCCGAGCACAGTCGGCCGGACAGGCCCGCGGCCGACCGCCTCCGAGGTGCTGACCCGCCACCTGCTGCAGCGTCGCCTCCCGCCGTGGACCTCGTACTGTGTCCGCTACAGCTCGGTCCACAACGACCAGTTCGGACTGTCCAACTTTAACTGGACAGTTCACGGATCCAACTACCACATACTGAGGACAGGCTGCTTCCCCTTCATCAAGTATCACTGCACCAAAGCACCTGCACAGAACCTGGACTTTGACGACAGATTTTTCACCGCGCTGAAAGTGATTAATCTGGGTCAGTAAATGCATCTCCTGCTCCTCATCACTCCTGAGACAGATGATGATTTCAGCCTTTTTACACTGCAGACATCACACACTCACCGTGCACCTTCTTCTTGCAGGTATCCCTTGTTTGGCCTATGGCATTGGCTGCTGGATGGTAGTGGGAGCTTCAGAAACAGTGCACACAAGTGTCGGACCTGTCACAGTCTATTTCGCCTACAAAGAAGATGAAGGCGCACAATATTAAACCTATTACTATTTTGAATCATGAGATTATTTATTATATATTTCGTTGCTGTATTTACAGCAGTTCCTCAGGTGATGTTCGGCTGACAGAAGAACCATCCTGTGTCACAAGTCTTCTCTTTGTGTGAGAGCACAGGTTCAGTTGTGTTTAATTATTAAAGATTTCAAGTTGTAAAGAAGGAGTCACTTATGCATGTTATTGCACTGACATTTAACACTGGCAGTGTTGATTCAGAAAGCTGACTTTACATTAATATTTAATGTAAAGTTCAGGAATCCTAGACTGTTTGTACACAATGTCTTTACTGACCTACACGTTTCATTTACTGCCTGCTGTTAGTGTGGGGTTGTATACTCATTGTAGTGTAAGTAATATTTTAGCAGACAGTATTAAAGTATACAAAATGGCAGTACAGGAAATTGTGACTACAATGGGGACTTAAAATGGTCAAGATGAAATTATGATAGATGAGATGGTTCCCGCTTTAAAATGAATATTGAGTTGCATATTTGATGTTGTCATGCCCTTTGCTATAGTATCTGTGACAAACACAGGAATGTAAATGACTGCAGCTCATTTATTTAAAGGTGAATTAGTGATCACTCTCCATGCAACAGATAGTCAATAGTGTTAGAGAAAAAAACGTGACAAGACAGGTCTGATAAAATAGGTTTTAATTACCAAAGTGTGGCCTTTCTATAGAGACATCTACATCCCTTCCTTCAGGCCCTCCCTGGCCTTTGATTTCTGGTAATGTGCTTTGCTGACAGGGCACACTTACCTCCACTGCAGAGTCCTGCTCCCTCCGAGAGGCAGGTTGACAAACTGCCATATTGATTTCTTCACCCCTCAGCATCTCCTACTAATAGCGTTTATCAGCGACCTCAGTTTTCTGGCCTTGGCCTCTTCGTTTTCAGCAACAAAGAAACCAAGCGCACAATTTCTTGTTCTACATGTAAATCAATGCACCTTTCGACCTTCTCTGCTCTTAAAGGTTATGGGATCCACCCATTGGCTGCTGATGGTGTACAGCATCTTCATGGGTGAAGTCCTATTCACAAGCATTTACATTTAAATTAGATTAATAACTGTACAGCTTCTGAAAAAATCCTATCCCCATGTGAAAGCACATTTAAATCTGTTAGATCCAGATTTTCTTTTGGACCTACAACAAATTGCACAAACTCATAGATATCAGTCTTCTTAATATGCCAGATTTTTTTTCATCATGATCCCTGAATTATTCCTGTGAATTTTGTAAATTGAATGGGTCCTCTCTTGGCACATGTCCCATCCTGCCACCAAGTTTCTAGGAAATCAGATTAGTCGTTTTTTGAGTTGATCAAACAAAAAACATGGATGGGGTGAAACCATAACATCCTCAACGGAGATTATAAAAGAATACCACTAAATGTGAAATTGTCCTTCCTTGGTGGGAGGCTGCATACATTTGTTGGCCTAACAAGAAGAAAAACTGCTTTGCTTTGCTCTTTAATTATCAAATATCAAACAGTTGTTTAAGGCTCCTGAATGTGCTGTAATTTGTACTTCTCTTCAGTTAACGTCCTCAAAAAACATTTAAATACACAGGTTTTTATAGTTAACAATCCAACCATTGTCATTAGCACCAAATTTCGAAACCTCATGCAGAATTCATCTGCAAAATCCCGTTAAACAGCCTGATGACACTATACACTATCTCGTAATCATGCTAATTGCCTTGAACGAGGAACATTTAGACACACTTATGGAAATCTGATCCATAGTATCAGGCTGCACTTAAATCCCCCTCCTTTCATTTCCAACCTTTCAGCAGGACTGACAGTGTGCATGGGGAATGCTCAGGCAACCATGTCTTAATTACTCATTGACCCTTTGACCCACGAGATGCATTGATACCACCGTATACAGCGAGAAGCACAATTGCATGGGGTTGCGGTGGACTGCAGCTTAGTGTGTGGCTTTTACAGGGTGATGTGAGTCAGTGAAATCTAAACTGTGCAGCAGGTGAGCACATTGTATTCGTTTTCAGGGCTTCTTCTCAGGACTGAAACTGCAGGGGAGGGCAGCCCTTCAGCCCGAGCAGAGGCTTAGCATTACACATTGACCCTCTGTCACCAGCGGGGCAGTTCCAGGGCATCTTGACAGCAAATTGACTTCTGTAAATTAACAAAATATATCTGTATTTGTTGTGGGATTGATGCCTTTTAATTGTAGCCCTGTATTGAAGAGTCTAAATTACCCAGCACACATCTAACATGGTAATGAACAAAGAATGAATGCCTGTTTGGCACGTTTAATTGCACGCTGGAGTTGGTAATAAGTTTTGTCAAGGTGAAATCTTTAAATACTTGTACTGTTTAGGATTTAGGTAAGTAAAGCAAAACAAGTGCTGAAATTGAGTGTAGTGTTGCTGTAAATTGTTAATGTTTAACAGAGAAATTGCTAATCAACTTGCCCACACTTGTAATTATCTTCTAATTAGCTAAAACTCATCAGATTCTTCAGTGTAAGAAAGAAAAAAGAAAAAACCATGTTGACTCCCTTGAAATAAGTGATGCAGCTGATTCTTAAATCAATTATTTAGTAGGACAAGTCACACCATGTTTTTTTTCCTCTGGCATATAGATATATGGCTTGGCAGAAACAATTATTGTGTGAACAGCCCCTGCAGCTAATGCTGGAGAGGTTATCATTATGAAGCCTCTGGATCGGCCACCAGCTCCATCTCCGTACTTGCTTCACGATCAGCAGGGGTACTGGAGCCATCACTCAGATCACTTTAGGATCAAGCTGGAATTACATCTTAATACACAATTGTCAGCCGACAGTGTCGGTGGCATTGATGTGGCATTTCTTTTTTCTAAATCATAATGTGACAACTGAAACATACAGCTTATTACTTTTCAACCAGAAGCCATATAAACACTATGAGCAGCTTTGAAAGCGTTAATAAAAGACTTTGATATTTTAAGTAATGTGCAATAAATCAAGTATTAGGTTTTGTTCTAAAATACATTTTCAGTAGTTGATAATCGTTGACCTCTTGCCGTGGTTTACACTTGAAGTACCTTTTTCTTTTGGAGTGGGGTAGCGTACTGAAGCCATTAAAAATCTATTACGGTGTATTTCTCCACCCAAGGGATGACAAGAAGCACCATAATTCTTTTCTTTTCTTTACATCCCCCTTTCCATCTTTATCTTTATGACGTGTGTGTGTGCGTGTGTGTGCGTTTGTGAGAGATAGAGGAGGGGAAAGGGGGGGTATATGCCTGCTGTGCCTATCGGTGTTGCCAAAGCTACTGTCAGTGGGAGGCTAAAATATCTGTCAGTCATCTTCTTTGGCCTTTCTGCCTCATGACCACTCTCATCTGACATTGGGACAGTTTTAACATAGAATGTCAGACAATTTTCATCAAGGTCTTTAATGATTTACTTCACAGCAAAAACATGATAAAAATGCCAATTTTGTAGCCGTAGAGTGGATCTAAATTTATTTAGTTTAATTTATCATTGTCACTGCTTATTCTGTGTTTAGTTGATGCCCTTAAGCCTGAGCACTTAACTTCCAGCCAAAACCTCCTTTTTCTGTGGTTGAAGTTGATTATTGCTTTGTTTTTCTCTCTTGTTGATGATGTGGTATCATGTTCACTTCATTCATACTTAATGCTTACTCTGTTGACATTAAGAGAGTAGTGGATTTTAATAGTTTTTCCACGACTTATTCGCGGAGTTAAATGAACTATCCGTTTTTATTATATATTATGCAGTATTTAAAGTTTCAGCTCATTAAAAAACAGACGCCCTCCACACACCCCCAGGCTGTCTTTTACCCCCCACCAGCATGCAGTCAGGCTCCTCTTGCCACAGGCTCTGCTTGATCTGTTTTTCCTAAGTCAAAAATTGAAATACTCCGAAATATTTATTTATTTGTTTATGCCTTTTTCTTTCTCCAAAGATAAGAACAGCCTAATGTGTTTGTAGCTAAATCAAGCGACAACGGTGCATCACAAAAGGGTGATATTGCTTGGTTTTGTTTGACAGATATAATTCGTTGCGCGTCATATATGTTTTATGAGTCGCTTCAAGACAAAATATCTTATATGTATTCGAAAAATTGTATATACCTTAATTTTGCACCAGACCAGGCCCCTTGTGATTGTCCCGCTTCTTACATGCACAACGTGCAGCTACCCACACAGCTCAATGCTAGACTGGAGATTTACATTAAATACACTGATACTGATGCTGCACGGAAACACAGAAATGGAATAAATCAATTTTGTTCTCAGGAATGCTTCACATACTTTTTGATGCAGTGTGATCTTCAATCTTTCTGCAAATGAGCTGCGGTCCCATGTAATGGTTTCTGCTCCTCGTGGGAGGCCGGTGTCTGAGAAAAGCTGCTGATTGAGGGGGAAATGTAATACAGGTGTAAAGCAGACTTGATAGGGGTCTTACACGAGGGTTATGCATTTTAACAGTGATATACATACTGTTACATATTTATCAAAGGATATGGAATTTGCTGGCTTGACTCTTTCTGGTCTGCAGAGATTTGCAGGTTTCTGCTGGAGTGTTAATTCTGGCAGAAAGGGGGGCTATTATGTTGAATTAATAGGAATTAAGGGCTTAAATTGGTTAAGTAAGCACTTCATTAATCGTGACTGGATTGCTGTGTGTGAGAGGTTTATAGGTGGTGTAGAGTGCTGGTACTTAGATGAAAGAAAAGGGAGGGAAGATCTGGATGAAAAAGCAGGATGGTGCTCAGTATGTAGGCAAGCGATCCCAAATATATCACATAACAGTGAACTGAAAAGATTAGTTGATTCATTAGTTAGTTCATCAAAACCAACTGGCAAATCATTTATCAAGCAAAGTAGTGAAAAGGAGTTTGAACCCTTCTGGTTCCGACTTCTGGAACTGGAGACATTGCTGCTGGTTTAGGGAAAACTTTTTTGTTTTGGACTTTTGGTCATAAAAAGACATTGAAATACGCCATGGGCTTTAGAAAGCTAAGCTTTTTTTGTGGCATTTCATAGATGTAACAATAATATTATACATTTTAGCCACTGACTCAGTGAAAACCTTTGTTGCTAGAGTATAACATGCTGACTGTATGCTGTGTGTATTGTCCTAGATCCAAGTAAACCAACGTTTGGATCTTTGA